TCACACTAGAAAAAGCGGGCTGTTTGTTTGATCTGCGGTCAGGCGGCGTTCACAAGCGATGCACCTTTTCAGCTGCACAACTTGTATTGTCTGCATCCCCGCTCATCCCCATTATTCAGGAGTGCAAATGCATTTAAGGGAGTGCATTTGTGTTTGCATTTTGTAACCGCAAACAGTGTACTTGAGAAACTTATCCTTACGATGGTTTGTATCTGGAGCATGAAAATCTGAATACAGGGCTACAGTTTGAATCTTGTGTCTGAAAGAGGCTTTGGTATTTCCTCAGGAAACTGCCCCACCAACAGGGCTCTATACCCATCCTCATCTTTTACTTCTTTTTCAAGATCTGTTCTTCCTCATTTCCCCTTCTTCTCCTCCTCCAGCTGCTTGATCTGTCCTCAGATGTGCCCGCTCCCTTCTTTTAACCCATGTGTTGCCTTTTCTTTGTTTTCCTTTCAAGCCACAATTAAAAAGGTCCTCGTGCAAATATGCTTGCCCTCCTCTTCCTCACATTATGTACTGTAGTCTTCTGCATTTGTCCCCCTCTTCTCCCACTACTTCTCTTCCTCCTACTCATCTGGCCATTGCTTTTTCCTTTTCTTTGTCCTCCTCTTGCCAGATACGCTGCATGCTTTCTCTACCTAAACCCCTGCTGACACTTTCAGGAAATCAATTGATTTGGAGTAAGAAGAAATGAGTCACAGCAGCAGATTGTTAGGCTAGATGTAAATAGGCTGTTGTATCCAGTGAATTTGATTCAGGTTTTCATTATGGGTCCTTTTGATGCTGTATTACCAGTGTACCTGCCCTCAGCTGGAACTGAATAGTATAAAGCGCTTCCTCCGTCAGGGAAAGTGCTGAGCACTCAGAACAGCTGCCTAAATATTTTGGGTTGACTTCAGCAAAATGTCAGCTCTGATCCGATCTGGACAGAGGAGTTGCTGAGAACAAGATGAATAATTGTGTAAGGAAGTTTGATCTAAGAGCATTAAAAGCTACCACATAGCAAAGAATCAATGATAACAGAGCAGTGCCAAGAGAACTGAGTGATGACACTGGGAATGAAATGAAACCAAAGTAGACACACATTTGTCACTTGACAGTGTACACATTCAGCGCTCACTGACAGTTGTGGAGTCATAATCCAAGCCCCCATCTATACACCAGTAACTTTTCAGCCTTTTCCAGCCCCTCTGAGTGACTACAAACCAAGACACGTTAGATAAGGATAAAGCCAACTCTCCTGGCAGCTCCAGAAATTGTACAATTGTACATGGTGAATAAACACCCACCCGGTTTCTAAAGTTATTCCCAGAATCCTCAGAGATTCTTCCAACACTTCAGAGTCAAAGATAATCTGATCTGGTCCAGGAAAAATATAAATTTAATCTGTCACTTGGGTATGTTTTTTTTTTATCCATATAAAAAAGGATGACAGGAAATGATGTCGTCTTTCTTGCTATGTGTGAAAGTGGCTCGACTTTCACCTGCTTGGCTGTGTGGTCGCTAAAGAGAATTCAGCCGAATCAATAGTGGATTTATTTTTTATTAAAGTGAGCTTTCAGCCGTCTTTGCATCCAGTCATCTTCAGGGTGAGGATCTGCTACTGCCTTTGGTCCGTGGACTCTTGGTTAGACAAAATTATTAAGCAATGTCATCTTTGATTCTAAATAACAGTATTTTTTGTTTTAAGAATTTCTGACATTTTATAAACATTATCTAATTGATGAAAATAAGTGGAATTGTTGCACCTATCTGAAGTATTTCAGTTTGCCATTTACTAATTGGCTTGGCTTACACCACATGGGCTAGGAGGTTTAGTCTGGCTGTATATGAAATAACATCACAGTGAAAGAGGCCAAGACCTGGTAAAGTAATGCATACCGATGAAGCCAGAAATGCATGGTACATTTCTGTACCTTTAAATTACCCTTTGTCCATCACTGAAATCTCCAGCTGCTTATAAGTTTAAATGCTGAAGGCTTTCACATTACTACTGATTTGCTGCACTTTTCTCATCTTAACATTTACAGCTGTAGCTTTAGAAGCTGTAAAGATGTCAGTCCTCAGGGAGGGGCTTCAATGGTAATATTTGGAAACGGATATTGAGATGCAGCAATCAATAACTGAGAATAAAGATGAGCTACAAAAGAGGGGTGGTGAGGCAAAGGGAACAGTTGTGAGAGAAGAGGGCAGTTAGAGACAAGAGACTGAAACCTGCCCTGAAGTCAGTATAGGCTTCTGTGTTGTTAAAAGTTGAAGTGGCTGTCTGGTTCTCATCCCATCACCATGGCAACACTGCCAGCAAATAAAGGGAGAGAGGGAGAGTGGGAAAAAAGTAGCCAAGAGAAGAGGTTGGAGGCAGAACGGTGGAGGGAGTATGAAAGATGGAGAGAGATAGAGAGAGCAGAAAATACAGAAAGTGAGAGAGTTAGAGAAAATGTGGGCGTACTGTGTGAGACTGTGTGTGTGCGTCTTGAGAGAGAGAGAGATAAGCTGAGAAAGATATTCTGCAGCTTATCTGGGTGTGTATTAGCAAGTCCAGAGGGCAGCTTTACTACCATCATAAAGTCCTTCATTCTGTCGGGGCAAGATCGGAGAGGCAGATAAAAAGATTTTCTCACCGACTCCACCCGTTTTAAACAGACCTTTGGCCAGGTTCTAGCAAGCAGACGTCTAAATTACAAGCTGCAAATATTTTCTAAACATCATAAACCTCACGACCTGTTCTGAATAAGACAGGAAACAAAAAATGAGGGATTTTGTCATCATATCATATACGTTTTCATCTTGACATCATCTGGCAGTTTGTTCTCTAAAGTGATGTCTCATCTGCCTCCTTATCATTTCCCTTTGTAAGCTCCTGACAAAGCCTTCTTTTTCAGCGTGCTCATTTTTTTTTACAAGAAGTCTAGTGTAATAAATTGGGCTCTGTTGCTTGAATTTCTAGCCAGGCGCCCAGCCCCAAGAAGAGCACACCTGCACCCTATTTATACACTGCAGAGCAGTGTGAGGTTCACTGGGTTTGCATACAGTATTTCTTCAGAATATTTGTTTACCCGTCTTAGTTCTCATTGCGCCTGATCTTTAAAATCTCTGCTGTCGAGCACTAAAAGTATCTCCCTCGTGTCAGAACACCAACACAAGGGGGATGCACCAAAATATCTTGGTTTGTGTGCGTGTCTTTATTATATATTTAATGTTTGTGTTTATGTTGCAGATTTGGTTCCAGGTCCCCTCCATGTGAAACGCTCAAGTATGTGTCCTCCTCATGTCATTGGAAGGTTCAGTTAAAACCTAATCTACATGTGATTACAGCCTAAAATTGCACCCCTTTATGTAATCCCTCAGAACAATCAAAATCAGGATGATTAATCATGTGATTACTTTTAGGCAGCTTCCCAATTGCCACTGATCATGCTGATTACAATGGATCACCCAATCTAAATGTCTTTTGCGCTGATCGCTTGGAGCATGTGTAATCTTCAGCACGCTGAATCGGCCGAAAAGCCACCAACAGGACCACACTACAAAGACACGGGCAGCAGACGCTCACCAACGGCCTGTCAGTGGTCGGCAGCCAATCGTTGGCTTGGTGTGTCATAGGCCTAAAACAAAACTGCTCTTTCCATTTAGTGTAACATGCCAGAACACACTTTGCATATTATTTTGTCATTCATTAGAACAGGGATGTGTATCTCATGTCCCTGAGCTTAACAAAACATTGCTCCCTAGCAAATTTACTCGCCCACAGTGCACCTTTACTGAGGAAGGGTAATTGGCAGGGGTGTGTGTGTTGGGGGTCTAATAAAAAAAATACACTAGGTTGGTAAGAAAAGGGCTTCACAATAGAAAAGTAAGTAGACATTCCACTTTCTCTAGGTGATTCTGACCTCAACAAACCTTTAACATCCTCCCTCGCTCGCCCGTCTCACTCCTACTGCATGTAGTTTGCTTCTATAATGAATAATAGAGCACCGCGCTGCTCTCGGATGTACACAGATTTATGGGCGCCGTGGGATCCCAGTGTGGTATAGAGGTTTAGCTAGAGGATTTTATGTTTGACCTTAATCAAATGTTGGTTGTAGTGTGTTTGTGAACCACTGTAGTGATCTTTGTGTGTGTATGTCAAACGGGATGTGTGAGTGATTCTCTGTTACTCTCCTTCTGAATGGCGTAGTGTTGGCTGTTCATCTTGTAGCCTGCCTGTCTAACTGTCTTTCTACATGAATTACTGGCTTTCCACCCATCTTGCTTTTACTCAGCTAGCTTTATGTCTGTCTCACTCCCCCTCTATCATGCTCTTTTTGTGTGTAGCAGCAGCAGTTATGTCTTAAAAAGCTTTGCTTGGTAAATGAATTCCCTTATCAATCACTGCAGGAAGTAGATTAAATTGAAAATTCATTTGTGGTAGAGCTGATAGATGGCTGTTTACCATCGTTTCCGTTGTTGTTGCAGTATATCCAGTCTATTGTTGCTGGATTCACTCTGCTATAGCTGATTGTACAGAATACTCAATCATCAGAGTAATAGTTATTTTCTGGCTTGATTAAAGATACACTAATGAATATGCAGCCCGATGCATGCTCTGGTGGTCAGACAGACAAAGTTAGCAGCAAGCTGGTGAACATGTGCTAAGGAGCCATGTGTTGTCTTCCAGAGCTGGTGCAGACCAAAAACGTGCTAAAAGAGAATGAAAGGTTAACCATAAACATGTCTCCGCCTGAAAACAAGTAGTGCTCCCTGCTGGCCGAATGTGTAAATAGAAAACTGTTTGCTAACATCTTTTGCCATGTTAACTTTAATGGGTGATGATCTATCAGTTAATCAGGTTAGTGCAGGTTTAATGACCAGTTTTTTTGTTTTGTTTTTACTTTTGGAGGCTAGAATGGACTTTACAACAGAATGGCAAAAAGTACATAAGAACGATATGTCTAGAATGTGATTATGAATATGATAATGTATATCATAAATGCTTTTATTGTGCTTGTTCTACTCAGGTGGACGCCGCCTGTCTGAGCCTGATGAGGCAGAGCTACTGAGGGTCAGCAGGAGATTGGTCGAGGATGCTGTCAACCGCGCCTTGCAACAGTACAAACAGGAAACACTTCAAAACGGAGGTGGGCCTAATGCCACATCAGCGCAGCCCCCTGGAATCACTGAGGAAACTGCCACAAAGACGGACGCTACAGCTAACTCTACCACGGACAACAGGAAGTGACATCATAAGACTGTACAGAGACTGGAACACCAGCTGCCTAGCAGAGGGTTCAGTAATCCCTGGGCACAAAGCCTGAACCAGCCAACCAGTAAGCCTAGCTTGCTGACTAGCTAACCCTGCTAGCCAACACTACAACGGCTAGTGAGCCATGTTGGCTACCTGCTCACCTAGCTTGACACAGTGTTAGTTAAATAGAAAATGTAGCTTAAGATCATTGCTAGGTGACCGTTCCAGCGGGCCAGCTAGCTACGCCAGTTAGCTAATTGACTAACTCTGGTGTCCTACATCTAACAGCAAGGATGTCCATCCACACTCTGCAGTGGGTCTGTGTTTGTAAGTCAAACCCAGAAAACATGTCTAGAGACACATGTATGTAGGATTCACTGTGACCTGTCACATGCAAACTGCCCTTTCAGAATAAGAGAAATTTATTTTATAGAAAGTTTGGTTGACCATAACTTGCACTTAAAATAGGACTCAATGTCCTCAGTTCCCCTCTGAGTAAAACCTTTTTATGTCCCTTGCTAGATTGTTTCAGAAAATATTTAGCTTTTCATTGAACATGTGTTCCAGCACTGTCTTCATAGACAAAACATCACTCATCTGCTCATTCTGAAGGGGATCGAGCTGATTTAACTGTCAGGGTTGTGACTGACTTTAACTTAAGTGTGAAACACTCTTGGGCTTTGTTTGCGCAGGTTTTGCTGTATGTTGTTGCACGTCTGGGTTCAACGCACTTTCATTTTATCTACATCAGGAAATGGATCTCCTTTAAACTTCCAGCATTTTATTTTCCATTTTACATGAGACGTCTCTCTGCAGTTTTGTTATTATTCTGAGTTGTTTAAAGAAAGTGGCCCTAGCTATGATTTGAGTGTTATATATATATTACTGTGTTTGTGCCGAGGCTGCACTGGGAAAATCATCACTTTCTAAACTCTGAATTCATTTTTCAAAACAGACACTAAGTGATACCGGCTCCTGTCCCGGGTCTACAAACATTCTGGGACACACACATGCACATCCAGACTGCATAAGTCTATTACATTACTTTATCTCTGATACACTAAATAGCAAAAGGTGTTAGATAGACTGGATACTATATTAAGGATGATCAAAAGTAATGTACCTCTATTACAATATGCTATAAGTTGCCAAGAATGCATTTCACTCCACTGATGACCTGGGTTCTTGTCTCAGTAAGTGTCCATTTTTAATGTAGCCAGCTGTCAGAGCTATTAGATACAGGTGTTTATTTCATATCTCCCTGCCTGATCCAGTCTAAATGTAAATAGGTTTTGTTTTTTTGTTCACAAAATGCATTGTCAGTTTATCTCAGAGCAGATGATTTACTGGCATTTAAATTCATAAAGTGTTTGAGTTGCAGTCTAACACGGACTGAAGCCTGGCTGCTGGAGGCTCAGTGTTTATTGAGAGTATTTATGCTGAATTGAGGAGCTATTTCTCTGTAGTACTGTACATTTAAAAGCAGTTACAGCACAGCAGTTATTCACATGGTGACACTGATGTCAGGGAGGTTAACTCAGACAATCGCTGGTGTCAGCCAGGAACCTTCTGGCTTTTAATTTCATTGGTATTTTCTTTTGTTAGACTCGAAAATGAAGTTGGTTTTCTGTGGGCTACATGTGACCCCACAGCTCATGACATCCATTCAGAAACACATGGAGCATCTGTGTGAAATTAAAAGAAGATGATTTACAATTTTTAAAATGTTCTGGGAGATGAGGTTTTCGTTGTCAGGCGGATACAGCTATGATAAAGGCTTACGCTGACATTAAATGTGTTATTTTACCTTTTTAACTTTTATTTGCTTTCCTGTCGCTGGCTTCACTTTTAGAAGAAATAATTTCATGTGGAGAAAAATTAGAGAAAAGATATTTTGAAATGAGAAAACCAAGTGCTCAGTTTGCATTTAAAGGTGGAAAAAAAAGCACAAAATTATGATTTTTCTTTTTTTATTATTGCCTTTTATTTCCAGAGAGCAGGTAATTATATACATGCTGTTAAATCAAATCACCTCTGTTCAAAGTGGCCTTTAGTCACTAAAATTGATGTGATCCTTGTTTAACTGTAAGTGCTTAAGGTGACATTTTTAGCCAGCATAAATGATTGGGTGATGTTGGCTCATTTTATTGTGAGATTTGCCAAAGTCTCTTAAATGTTAACTTGTGGCTAAAGAGCTGGATTCATGGGTTAAATGTAAAAAATCCACTAACAGACAGAATTCACATTATTTCTTTTATGAGGTAAAAATTTTTTTCTGTGAACAAAAACAAAGACAGACGCAGTTTGCCAGCTTATATTTTCAGAGTTTTATTTCCCTGTGAACAGGTTTGAGCTGGAAAACGTGAAATCCACAGGAGTCCTGTCACTGTGGGCTGATTGAACCATCAGTAACAGTGGTGAATTCTGTCTTAAGGTGGACTTTGAATGTTTTTGTTGTCACCAGATCCTTAATATCCTTAAATTCCCCTTTAATACACAACTTGTCCTGTTGATCTGTGTGTATCTGTGTGCGAATGCATGTGAGCTCACACATCGACTGCTGGATGTTTGATCAGTGGTTCCCTGGAGAAATTCTTGTCTCTATCAGTCATGACAACTCGGAGCCGCGTGTGTGAACGTCTGTGCGAATGTGTCTTTGCTGTTTGTCTTTCCATTTGTCCATGAGTATGTCTGACTGCCTGGGTGTGTTGTTTGTGTTGTGTCGTATATCTTGTTCTGCCATATTTGAACAATAAAACAGGATATGAGATTCAAAACCAATATCCTTCAGTTTGCCTCCTGATTTCAGTGTGGGTGCACATGTAGGTCCACAGAATGTTTCTATTAAGACAAGTAATTTTAACAATGTCAAAGAATTGTGTTGCCTCCATAAGTCTTCTAAGGCACAGGGGCTTTGTAGGAAAATATATTCAGCAGCTTCCAAATATTCACAAAGGACTGCATATTAAGGACAGTTATTTTATTAAAATATATAAAAATGCATATTGTGGTGGAAGCATTTGGTTCTTAAATGTCATATCTATTGCCCTAAAGTTCAAAACACAGCATTTCAGAAAACACATTATACAAAACTGACAAAAGAAAAAAACATTTTACAAAACAGTGGAACAGAGAACCTGGCATTTATTTGCTACAGACTTGTATTCTCTTATTTCTAATCTCAAAGTCGTTAAAGTTGGAAAACAAAGGAATTATAAATATGGACAACGCATTTTTTCCCTCTAATACTGGGATTAAGGTTTGTCATCTGCAAAAACAGGAGTGATATCAAGAATATATAACGACAACATAAACCAGTTGTTGGTGGCGATAATGCTACTTATGGTAAGAATTCGCCAATAAAACGAAGAAGGAGGACGGGGAGGACATCAGAATCAGCTAGTGTGAAAAACATAGTAAAAATGTTTAAAAACAACTCTTTTTTTTTGAAATATCTGCAGGAAGTCGATGGTTTTCATGGTCCATTAGTAGCAGTCAGGGGGAGATGGCAAAGAGGAATGACTGGAAATTACAAGAGGAGCACAACGGTGAGTATTTATTTATGACTATAATATAATAATGGCGCTAGTGTTGTGGAACTTTGTGTAATGTTGAATTTACCAAGAGTAACGTCACAACTGTAGCAGGGTACAGGTGGTTTCATTCAGTGACAGAGCTTTTGTTCTCGCTGGCCATTAGTTTAACACCACGTTGATATCAGAATATATAGAGCATTTTCCCACCTTTGTCAACAGGTGAACTCACATCTTTATACTCTTTATAAGTACGTGAACTTTGGAGACGATTCTAGGCGCACAGAGCACTCACGTGAACGCGCTTTGGCTGATTAGGTTGACTGACGTCTCAAGTGGCCTCGGTAATTAAAAACACCTGTGCGCGCATGCGTACAGGCACTTACGCAGACGGATGGGAAGAGCTTGTCAAGCGTGTAATTGGTTTCTAAGGGCTTCTGTAGCAGAGGGGAGCTGAGTTCAGTGGTCCTGGTGCAGGGTGAGGTCTGAAGGCAGACAGGTGGACAGCGAGTGACGACATCGAAATAAAGGAAACGACAGCAAGCAAAGCACAAGATCAGTCAGTTTCATCAACATTCAGTATAACGAGCCACTAGTGACTTTCCTCTTCCTTCTATAGACAACAGAAGTGAGGAAGACGCCTGGTACCTGAGACTGAACTGCTGATTGGATGGTAAGTAAAGGGCACAGGCAGAGAGAGTGACATTTGCACCTGCTGTATATGACGCTACAGCAGTCTTTGTATCGATCCTTGAGCTTGTTTCATTGTTAATAACAGGATCACTGAGCTCTGTGAAATGGGGTCATCATGGTGTTAACCAGAAAGCTCTACATTATAGTGTACCTCATAATGTGAGGGCCTGTTGAATCACATGGAGTGATGCTGCATATCTGATGCTGGGATTTAGTCTGAGGCCGCCCTGTACGCCATGCTGTGCTCTGACTGGTGTGCATTCAGTTTCATTTAGAGGCTTAGAACTGCCAGAATTGGCAGCTTGCCAAATGTGACTGCCAGAGGCATTGTGGTTTCACCAGAGACTCTGGTGGAAAAGGGCTGGAGGGCACATTTGTTATCATCTGACCAAAATGACTCAAGTGACCCTCCTGGAATTGTTACCTTTGCTATGGAAATTTAGTTTTCATCAGTTTGACAGGCAGTACGTCACAATAACTGTGGTGACATTTAGAGGGCTGAGGGACCTTGGAGTTTGCACATCTCTTC